AAATGGACCTTCATTTTTCTAGACATGGGCCTAAACAGCACAGACCTGACATGGGTTTGTGACGATGAATGAAGTTTAGTTGCCTCATGTTATCGTGGCCTTGTCTTGAAAGGAGCAGCAAATACGAGTGAACTCCGGCCACTCTGCCCAGAAGACAAGCTGTTGCCAATAGCGGTGGAAATCAATGCCAAAGAAATTCGATGCAGAAAACGTTCACAGTTTCATTAACCTCTGCCTTTCCTTAACTGACCAAGAAACAGGAAAGGTAGCTAAACATAACGGTGAAATTTCTGTATTATTAATGGAACATGCATGAGTTCTTTACTCTCTGCCTTCGGTGATCCTTTTAAACATAAAATTTATTTGTTCATCTGATAACATTCTCATCTGCTATGTGCACTATCTAACAACATCAAAGAATATCCATGAAACATGCACTTGTAACCTAACTTGCTTTAGCTACTTCTTACATAAAACTAACAAGCGTTACACAGATGATGATTAGTGTCCGGCGCCTTTCCCGCTAGGTCCAGAGGAAGCCACCTTATACACCTGCCGCTTTGCTCCAGAAACCTGACCACCACCAGCGTCGTCAACAGACTCTGGATCAACTGAAACTTTCATGTTGGTTGACACAGAACCAAACCCGCGGTCATCGATAGGATCAGTAGTAGCATGGTGATCATCGTTCTCGTTCTTCGTTGCTGATGCAAGAGCTCTAGAATCAACGAGACTTGGGTTTGTAACAAGTAGGATCATGAGCAAGATGAGTACGGTCAAACAGAAGTGTCCCATTGTTTGATATGTTGAAGCTGTTGGGTTATGGTTTTTTGAACTCTAATATTATTAGCAGCTCCACCTATGACAACCCTTGAAATATTCCCTGGAGACCCAAAAAGAGTGGAGCTCCTTTTTTGTCTTTTGGTTGGGGCAAAGAACGGAGCTGAAGGAGTTGATTTGGATTTTCGAATCTCCATTGAACAGGTTACCAACCTTAATTTATACACACAACTCGCATTAAGGGATAGTTTGGGTGGCACAGGACGGAGGGGGCTTTTTCTGAAATGGGACCGTTCAACCAAGAGAACATTTGACTAGAAATTCTCTTCTGTTTGTTTCGAAGCAAATTTCACTTTCACACTTGTGTCTTTCCGTTCCTTTTGTCTCTGAAATTGATTTACCACATTTGGAAACACAGGTGGTGGAAGTTGATTATTCGTTTAGGCCACATCTCCATCTTCCATAGCAATTCATAAAGGTTCTTTACTTTGTAATAAAAAAAAAAAAATCAATTTGATACTTTTTATACCGTGGATGTAAAGGTTCCTTGTTTGCGATAAAAAAAACAATTTAATGTTTTTTAAATCATGTATTTATAAATACATAATTAGTTTGTTGTGGAAGGGAATGTAATTAAATCATATATGATTAAGTTTTGATCCTATAATATTTCATTATTAATTTTTAAAAGTAATTT